GGGGGGGGGGTACAACTATACATATACAATATATATTTTGTAAAAATGACTAGCAAAGGACTGTCTTGTTGGTTGATTGGTCGCAAGTGCGACTACCGGGCAAGGGGTCTCGGGTTCGATTTCCGGGACGGACAAAGTATTACTGGATTTTAAAAAATCTCAGTAGTAGCACGGGGTCCGGAAATGTGCCCGGTATATGGCAATAGGCTCACCCCCTATTACATGGGACTCATAACATAAATAGTGAAAAGTGGGTGTTACTTCTGTGTGCACCTCTGCCTATCCCTTCAGGGATAAAAGGCGTGATGTTATGCGTTATGTTATGTGTTACTAGCAAAGGACAAATATACGACATAAAAGCAATGTGTCATCGCTATCATTAAATAGGCATTTAAAAGTACGTATAGTACAAAAACAATTCCAAGGACGTCTGTAAAATATGGACGTCCCCTAAACATCGTATCTATGTGACTCACAATAAGGTAAAACCATACAGTTATTGATTGATCGGTCTATTGTAATTATAAAGCAATGTTTTTTTTTAAAGGATTGATTTGTTATCATTTCTTTGAAGCGGACGATTTTATTGATTAATTTTATTTTTGGTTAAGTTTCAGACGTTACGTAGTCGTGTGTTTTTTTATGGCATAAGCCGGTAAACGAGCAGACGGATCACCTGATGGTAAGCAATCCGCGTCGCCCATTGACACCTGGAACACCAGAGGCGTTACAAGTGCGTTACTGGCCTTTTGGGGATTAGGAGTTTGAGGATCGTTGGGGATTCAGGAATTGGGGAGATTGGGGAAGGGGAAGGTAATTGGGCGTCCGGTAACCTCACTCACACGACGAAACACAACGCAAGCGTTGCTTCACGTCGGTTTTCTGTGAGGCCGTGGTATCACTCCGGTCGAGCCGGCTCATTCGTGCCGAAGCATGGCTCTCCCACACTTAAAATTTTTGTTACGTAACATTACAAAAACAATGTATTTGAAACCATTTATTATGGTTCGCTTTTGTTTGCTAGTTCATTCGTGCAAGAAATCAGAATGCTTTTTAGTTATGCCCCATATAACCATATGGAATCCATGCTTTAGTTTTTTTTTGTATATTTTCAAATGTAAAATGTATGTCGTTTGTCTGTCAATCACTGAGATCACAATTCACAGACAAACATTGACGAAAAGTATATTTAAATTTAATTTATGTACCTGTTTCTCGACATCGTATTTCCATTCTATGAGTGGGTCTGCCTGTATGCCCATATCTGCGCAGGGCCGCAATAGATTGTCCATCTGGAAACAAGCAAATAAACCTTTTTAGTACACAGATTTAAAAAAAGGTCGGGCAAAGTATTACTTACTGGGTTTTTTCAAAAAATCTCAGTAGTAGCACGGAGTCTGGAAGTGTGCCCGGTATATGGCAAGTCTAGACTCCCTATTACATGGGACTCATAACATAAATAGTGAATAGTGGGTCTTACATTGTACAGTGGCATTAGATGCCGTAATGAACACCTCTGCCTACCCCTTCGAGGATAAAAGGTGTGATGTTATATATGTATATATTTAAAAAAAAATAAGTGGATTTAATAAACGCACCACGAACACAACAACCGTTTTCTCGCCATCACTCTTTTGCACTGAAATAGTTTTCTATCTACATGTTCCGTTGATACTTCTGGTGTCGCACGTGTTCTTAGGCTAGGTACGGTGTCTGCTTTCCATCAGGCCAACCGTAAGCTTTGTTGCTGCCAATAGCATTACTCTAGAAAACTTATACCGAGCCCTAGATAAGGCAGGAGTTGGAACGGAGTGGTTATCAATCTGGTAATTGTCTGACACTCTCTCCTGCCCCACCTAGTCATGAAGGACATATTTCATGATATTCTATCCTCGCAAAATAAAAAACCTAGATCAGGGCTGTCCAAACATGGGCCCGCGGGCCGCAGCTTGATTTCATGTGGCCCGTGACGCACATTTTAATCTCAACATCTCCATCTTATGTGCAACAACAATAATAAAATTCAGTCTATGATTTGTATACAAGTTTAGTCTATGAGTAAAGAATACAATGTTAAACGTCATTATACAACTGAAAATATATTTCTGGCCCTCCAGCTTTTCTAAGAAATTTAATTAGCCCGCGAGGGTATATAGTTTGGACAGTCCTGACCTACACAAAATGCATTTCTTTAGTACTTTTATATTCTTAGTTATGACAATGATACGGTCGAACAGCTGCTGAGCAAAAAGGTCATCCGTCAATTTCCTGACTTCACAAAAACGTTGCAAATTGACATTACATTACAGTCTACAGTCTATCTTCCTGTTACCAATAATTGGATCGAGGAAGTGGACGGTTGTGATTGGACGGAAGAACGGAACGGAACTTATAATTACTTTAGCGAAGTCATTTCTTTTACTTATTACTGTCAAAGTTAGAGAGGAAAGGACGCAAGAAAACGCAGTTCTGTTGGCTGACCATGTAGATAAATCTGTAGTACCTAATGAATAACATTTTTTAAACAGTTAGAAGTCAAAACGACTGCGTCGTTGGTCGAGGGTTCGATTCCCGGGTCGGGCAATGTATTATTGGGTTTTAAAAAGTTCTCAGTAGTAGCACGGTATCTGGAATTGCATGCGGTATATGACAATAGGCTCACCTCCTATTACATGGGACTCATAACATAAATAGTGAAAAGTAGGTGTTACATTGTACAGTGGCATAATGTGCAGCTCTGCCTACCCCTTCGGAGATAAAAGGCGTGATGTTATGTTATGTTAGGTCAAAAGGTAGGTATATCAATAACCAATCTATTTTTCAATATAATCTCATATTTTTCAATACAATGGACACATTAATATCAATTACGCCATATCCATCTTTAGCATTGATGAATATCATCTGGCAACATGTTTTGGCTAGTCCACGTGCATTGTATTTACTTTGTAGTAGGATTGCAGTGAGAACAGGTTATTGACCTTATATCATATCTATATCTTATAAGCTGCCTTACATGACACGTGTTTACCGAATTATCTTATGGCGAATTAATAAAAAAACAATTTGATGTATTAAAGCCGTTAACTGTTTGCAAAGGATTTTTTAATGCTACATTTACAGTCGAGACGAGGCCGAGATACATTGTCGTTATTCTAAAAGAGTTGTAGTCTTTCTCGCATTATAAGACTGCAATGTACCTCAACCTAGTGTCCACTCATGCGAGAGAGTAAACGTAGCAAAGAGTTCGTAGTTGAAGTTGAATGTTGTACATGGAATTATACTAGATGGCATTAGTAGTCCCCTTAAGCTTCTGAATTTGAAATCTGCGTTTAAATACATTCGCACTCACGGAATATAGAATACAATGGAAGTAGCTTGAAACCACGGAATATAGAATACAATGGAAGTAGCTTGAAACAATATTTCTGCCAGAACCGGTGTCGCCAAACTAATACATTTATAATTTACTCATACTATAAATCGGAAGTTACAATTGGTTAGAAAAAAAATGGGGCGTAAACGAAATGCAAACAAAATGTCATACGATATGCAACTTTAAAATCACTGAAATAAAAATCAAAATTAAAAATTATATTTTGGACTACCAAGTACCGCTATTCGTCGCTAGATGGCGTTTAACAATGCCATCTAGCGACGAAAAGTGGTACTTGGTTTGAACTTTAACGTCGTAAGAATAAAGGTGATATTTGAATGGCTTATCACTGGCTCGAATGCGGGTCTCTACTCAGATAGTGATGTAGCCTAATTCGATAAAAATAATATCGATAATATGAAAATGTGTTTTAAAAATAATATGAAAAAAAATATTGACTGCTATAGTGTGACAGTATTAAAATAATAAAATTAATATGTCGTTGATAACTTTTTAAACGTAACAAAAAAGGGTAAGTATTTATTTACATGTAAATCAAAAACCATTTTGTTCGTATTTTTTATTAGTTTCTTTTTTCAAAAAATCATTTTTTTTATTTCACATAGGCAATATAAGTAACAACTATTACATAATTTTTTACAAACTTTATATAGATAATGTGATAAGGATGACGGTGCTGATCTGCTCCGTGAAGTGAAGGTTGCTTCCAATCACGTCGGGGTCACCACTAAAATAATAATAAAAAAATAATCTAAATAAATGTTACATTACACTTGCATCGATATTAATCGATAAATATGTAACTTGACCACATCACTATTTGAGTAGCGTAGAACTGGCGAGAATGTTCTATTGAATGGAATAAATCCAAAATAAACTTTATCTTGAAGGCGTAAGGTTAATTTTGACTAACCGTTTTAGTAAATAATATTATTTTAATAACCGTTTTTGTAAATTGAAATAAAATAGGATTTTAACAAGAAAACAATGAAAATTGTACTTACCGATGATACGAAACACCTCCATTTTTACGATTTTTCGGCTGCTATCATTTTTACACGCCAAAACGGAACAAAACGGCATAGTTGAGGAAATATGTATTTGTCACGAGACTAGCAACTCGACGCCATGTTCGAACGAGACTGAACTCGAATTTGCCTCGAGTAAGCAGTACACAGCTTAGGTGTGGCACGCGTGCCACGCCTACTTGCTACTTCCATTGTATTCTATATTCCGTGTTCGCACTTATTCAGTTACTGATTTTGAATTTTAATCTTTTCCAATCCATGTTTGCATACAGCTACTTTAGCTACCCCGACACGAAGTTGTAAACTTCAAGTTCGTAGAACTTTAGGTTTAGACTTTGTACATAACATCACGTCTTTTATCCCCGAAGGGGATGGCAGAGGTACACATTACGGCATTTAATGCCGCTGTACAATGTAACACCCACTTTCACTATTTATGTTTTCAGTCCCATGTAATAGAATGTGAACCTATTGCCATATATTATTGCCGCTTGCTATATTTACAAAACGCTTAGTAATTGGTAGACACGAACAACTGAAAATTAGGTAATAAAGAAACTAAGGAAGGAAACCAAGTTATCTAGAACCTTCTAAGTTAATAAAAGAATTTATACAATTTTCACACGCCTTTTTGACAAGTAAATGTGAAAATTATCGAGCGAGCCCTCGTTTAGTATTATAATTACAAATGTAAACAATTTGCATACAATTGAGTGTCGGAAGGGGCACGAGCGGCAAAATATGGACCGTGGTGTAATGATTCATTTTCATTCATAATTTATGTATTTTTATTACTACTCCCGTTTTGTCATTCATCGGCCTTATGAGTAAAGAGAAACTTGTCTACTTCGATCATTCTGTTAGTTATCTTTTTATAGAGATGCCGCTACTTATAGACTCGAAGCCGTGCGATAGTCTACGTGGAAATCCCTTAAAGGTTTCGTTTGTTATTTCGTGAGAAGTTTATATGCTTTTTTTTACCTGCCCAGGTGAGGCGATATCCGAGTGTTAGACTCTTACTGACTAAAAACCACCCCGTATCCTAAGCCTACTCCTGCACTTCGAACCGGAGTCTCGTCAACCCGTAAGTCCTTTGAGGCTTCGTAAATTTGTCGTATCCTACTTCGTCGTCGTCGTCGCTCGTGCATTGTTGACCATACTAATTCTTAAATTCTCCTATGGTAGTCCCGAATCGAAACAATATTTCCTACTTCCACTTCAAAATACTACAGAAAGATACTTGCAAACAGTTATTGCCGTTGCTAGGTAGCAACAGAATAATTCGTGGTACATACGCTATGCTAAGTTTGTTGACCTGAACACATATCATTCGGATAATAAATAAATAGGTACTTACGTTGTCGGTGCCTGACTACGGGGTATCATGCTTAGAGACAGTACTATCGGCAAAATACAGCGTGTCTCCGTTTGGAAATTTGTATGAATGGGTGAATTGTAGTTGAGTTAATTTAAAAAGATGTAGGAAAAGTTTTTAATAAGTTATTAAAAAGCAATCGAATTGGAGTTTTAAACTGCCAAACACCGCGGGGACACCGGTGACTGCAACATATTGCTGTTTAATTGTGTCTATAATGACGGTACTCAAAGGGTAGGTGTTTGAGAAATGACAGTTTGATTTATACAGATTTTTAAGTATACCCACCCTATTTATTGACTTGACCATCTAACAAAGTTTTAATATATTTAAGTAAAACAAAAGTCGTATCTTTCGACACTGGTAGTATGGTCGACAACACCGTTTTGGAGACTCGGTTGCCAAAGAAGAAAAAAATAAAGTCGTATCTTCGTTTGACACTGATCGTCGCTAACTTTGTCGATTGTACCTAACCTAACGAGTGTATTTCGT